GCTAGCGCTCTACCACTTGAGCCACAGCGCCACTTCCGGCTTTTTTCTTTTTGCTTATGTGGTGCTAAAGAATCGAACCCAGGGCCTTGAGCATACAAAGTAAGTGCTCTACCACTGAGCCACCTTCCCAGCCCCCTACTCTATACTCTTATACCATCACAAAGTAGGGCTTTTATCAGCTGTCTACCATCGTTGTTATAGGTCTGACAGTTTTTGGAAAATTAATTTCAAATCTTGAGGGTGGGCCTGTTAGAGATTCAGAGTACACTCTTCAAAGTTATGCTATTTTTGGTGGTATTGCTATTTGAACTCAGGGTCTGTGTTTGCTAGGAAAATGTTCTCACTTGAGTCATACCTCCAAGTTCCAGTTTTTTGCTGGTTAACTGAAGATAAGAGTCTCTTGGGGGGAGGGGGAATGGGAAAGGATGGGAAGGGGAAATAAAGGAGGAGGCAACAATGCTTGATAAGAAATGTACTCATTATCTTGCCCATGTAATTGTAACCCCCTCTGTAGGTATTTTCACAATAAAAAAAAAAACTGCCAAATGTTTGTAGAAAAAAAAAAAAAAAGGAGTCTCTTGGGCCAGGTGTCAGTGAATCAAGCTTATAATCTAAGACCTGAGAATTGCAGTTCAAAGCTAGTCTGGGGAAGGAAAACCCATGAGACATTTATTTCCAACTAAACACCAAAAAGCTGGAATTAGAGCCCTGGCTCAATCGGTAGAGCACTAAGCCTGGAGCAGAAAAAGCTTAGGAACAGTACCTAGGCCCAAACGCAGGATCAGCACCAAACAAACAAAGTGTTTTGGATTTGTCTGCTCAGGTTGACTTCAGATCTCAGTTTACTGAGTTGCTAGGATTACAGATTTGAGCCACTGATGCATGGCTTCCAGTAGATTTCTGTAAGTGTATGGTAGTACTAGTATTTAAACTGAAGACCCTGTGTTTATTTAGGCAAGTGTTCGACCATGAGTCATGCCTCCAGTCCTAAATTTATTTATTTTCTTCAATCCTGGAGATCAAACCCTGGCCTCATGTATGTTAGGCAAGCACTCTATCACTGGGCTACTCCCAACCACTTACACTCATTCTTTTAATATGAAAGGGATTCAGGGGATTCAAATATTTGTAACTTAAGCCCATATAAGACTCTTAAAAGAAAATAGAAGGAATTTTCTCAGGGGATCTTGTTCCAGTTCCTACAATAAAAGCAGACCAATAAGAATAACAGATTGTCAGACTGTTAAAAGCCATGATTCTTCCTCAAAATTGAAGTTGGTGTGGTCAGTATAATTTAAAGTATTTGACAGCTTCAATTACAAGTATGTTTGGTAACAACCTTTAAGATGAAGTTCAACTGGACTGTGACCAATCACCTCATTTTCCTTGGTTTTTTAAGGGTTGTAAGATTGAATCCAGTCCTGGCACATGCCAGACAATCATTCTATCACTTGAGTTATGCTCCCTGCCCTTTTATTATCATTGCTGTTGCTAGTATTAATTAATTAATTTATTTATTTATGTCAGTTGTAGGGCTTGAACTCGGCCTAGGCGCTGTCCCTGAGTCTCTTTGTGCTCAAGGCTAGAGCTCTACCAGTTCAGCCACAGCACCACTTCCAGTTTTTGAGTGATTCATTGGCAATAAGAGTCTCACAGGGAGCTGGGCGCTGGTGGCTCACGCCTGTAATCCTAGCTACTCAGGAGGCTGAGATCTGAGGATCGCGGTTCAAAGCCA